GTTCCTGCTAACAGATTTTCCAAGAAGACAATGCTAGACCACTGTACCAGGATTAAAATGATGATTTTAAGAACACGATGCTTTGGTCTGGCTGGGGTCAGTTTTTTCTCCTGACCGAAGTTTATTAACATATATATTGAATGAACTCTTCAGTGCCATCAATTGGAGACTACCACACCTAGTAAACCCCACTTATTGACAGCATGTGCACAGGAAGAGTAATAAACACCCTCTCACCAGGAGCTGGTCAGGTCTGTGTGTCAACACTGCTAGAATTATATCAATGTCCAGGGAGCTCATATGCAATAATAGTAATATGGTTTCATTTTGACAGCACATCATGTTTCTTTGACGTTTGTTCATATTTTTATGTGATTTTATTAAAATACTAAATTAAATCCATTAGATCTGCGTGTTAAATCTTATTCTATGCAATTGTGCAAAACTGTTGAATATTACATTGCAAAAAGTCCTTCAGGTCACTCATGTACAAGCCCATCAAAGTCAGCTTGTTTAATGGACCCAAAAGGGAACATTTTTTAAACTTTTCATCTTGAAGCTTTTTCATTGGATCATTAAATCAGAGTACATAGACAGCAGCAGACTGGCATAAAAAAACTCAAATTATGATCACATCTAAACAAGCATTTTAAAGTCACCCAGGAATTAGAAACTAGATTCATATACATAGAAATACTAAAGCACTGATACTTTGCATTTATTCTACAAACCTACTTTGCTATCTGTACTGATGAATATCAAGTTAATTGTTGACACTCAAAACTCCAAAATGAGATGTATTTCAAGTATGACAATGACCTTTCACTTAAACACAAGTAAAAGCAAATTCCTGAAATGGAGATTTTCCTGGATTTATGTTGCCCTCACATTGCGATACATTCACCCTTTTGTTATTTGGTGCAATAATCAGATTAACAGCTGATACTTATTTCCCTCTCCATAACCCTACTAATGTTGACTGCGAATACCACAAAAAGAAGAAACAGTCATGTCATGAGAAACTTTCTACATGACTCTAATAGTTCACTCTCAGATTACAAGCATGGGATGCAACTTGCAAACTACAGCGGAAATTTTCTGGAATCAAACACATCCGATCAAATTTCCTGGTAACCTTTTTTCTAACATTTTAATGAAGAAAGTATACCCAGTAGATTTATAAAAAGGAGTCAGATTAAAATTCGAAGCCACTAACAATACAAAGGGTGTCTCTCCTCTGCCAGGACAAATGTTCCAAGGCTCTTTGAGGTTTGAGGCTCTTTGGTTTGGACCACAAGGTCCATTCTGAGCAGCTCTGCAAAGACAATCTATACTAAAGTGCTAGATTGACGTCAGCTCAAAATCTGGCTGGGGAACAACTTTCCAAATGATATACGACAAGAACTGGGTTAACCATTTTTTAAATAAGGTTTCATCAGTTACCAGAAACCAACCATTCAGTGAAGGTTTCAATAACAAGCATTACTGAAATCTACTTTCAGACTGTGATAAGCCATTTTAAGACAGAAATTATATATGGTCTTACGCTCTGCTTATTTTAGATCTTAAGCTACATTTCTTTGATAGATGCACCTTATTTATACTGCATGCAAGCTACATGAAAGAAGAGAAAACATTACCAGCAATTTCTACCACTTTTTGTAAGATCCAGCTCCAAAAAGGCCATTAAAAAAGACTTGGGATTCAAACAGTCAAGTATACTTCACAAACAGCAAAGTAAAAGCAAGAACACTGGCAATTTCTATGTTCTTAATCTTTATACACATACAAGTATATTCTTAAAACCTATGGGGAAAAAAATAAAACCACACAGAATTGCTTGGCATACAAGTCAATGCAAATGAAGTGGCTTTCAAACAATATAAAATCTGAGCTAGTTTTCACCCCGTTTAGCATAAAATCCAGTAGAATTCTAACAGTGGAAAACTTGCAAAATAAAGGATCAGCCCTGAACACACATTTTCCTGTGTCGTGGTCGAAGCTATCTAGACAATGAAGGCCAGCACTTGGTAAAAATACCTAAACTCACTCTCCTCTGAGCTTCTCAATGTGCCCCGAAAGCATCTTAAGAGTAATCTCTATGCCACCCAATTTCACAAGCATCTTACTGCCAGGATTTTTGGAGAAATTAAATCTTTGAACTTCTGTTAGTGTTACTCGGACCTTTGGAATTGATCTTCTAATGTCTCTACAATGGTTGAACCTGTTCATTGACATTTAAAGGAAAACAACTCCAAATGGGATGCTAAGAGGACACATTTATCTTCAATTCGATGTAACAGGCAGAACTGAAGCAAGAGCCTAAATGAAAATTTAGAAAAAGAATGAGAAGCCTAACAAAACCAATGCTGTGTCATTTTCAGCTTATCAAACTATAATTGTCAAAATGTAAACTTAACAATTTACTACTATAGGGTCCTTTTAGTTACAACTCATATTTACAATATGAGTATTTGCAAGTCATATTTATTTGCAATTTCATATTTGCAAGTAGGATGACACTAGGACTGATTTACTTTCTCAAAGCAAAAGTGAATGTTCTGTTTAGTAACAAATAATAGTTTTACTTTCCAAACCAACACCAGTCAGCATGTAACCCTGCATCAAACTCAAGTATAGCCATGTCCTTTGAAGCAAAAAAAAAAAAGATAATATTTCATAATTTACAATCATGTAGCAGCTCGTTGTTTTTGTTAATTGCATGTTTTGTGCCAGTTCCTTTAAGATTATTCTCTCCTTGGGCAATATTCCACCCCCACAGACATGCAAACATAAATTTAATAAAAGCTCTCCGAGACCTAACACTCAATGGATAACTTCAGAAACAGCATAACCCTGATGATTCTGGACACTGGTGTCATTGTTTCAATTCTGGGCATCACAGAGCAAATTTATTTTCCATGCTCTCCCAGGAACTACCTAAAATAAACCATTAGCTCTGTCTGGTTTTGTCACAGCTAACATTTAATTGCACACAAATTCTCAGCTCATGTTTAAGAAAAGAAGAATGAAATTCACACTCTTCCGTCTTTTTCAGTTAAGTGGAAGTAAAAAGTAAGAATGCAAAATTTTCTTCTAAACATTATCAAAGTGCATTTTATATGGTTCTTTTGTCTTCCCTCTTGTAATAGGACTGCCTTTGCCTTTGCCTTCATATGAATATTCTGAGATTTCTCTTCCTCTTAGGTGAATTCAGAATCAATGCTCCCTCTGCAGCATTTAAAATGAGGAGTTAATAACAGGACTAAAAATTGTAAGGAGAAGACAACTGTGATACGGTTGGCAGCAAAACTACATGGTAAACCACTTGCTTACAACTACTCCAAGTGGAATCTGCAAGCCTACTAATTTCATTTGGTACTGCCTTGTTGCCGAACCTGTAATTGAAAGCAGATCTCAGGAACAGACAGGGGAGCTTTCATTCAGAGACAGCTAACTGCTGCTATAGCTCAGAAACTGCTTGGATCAATATGCTCAATGAAAGATATTGGAGACGCGAGCTGTAAACAGCTATGCTCTATCAAACTACCGAAGGAGACAGAATTACTTGTGACATGGGAAGGCTTCAAAAATCATTACCAAGCTGGACACAGACATTGAAAATTGTTAGCATTTTACAAGCTGGCTGATTTTTTTAAACCGTTCCTTTGATCAAAAGAAGAATTACTGGTTAACATCTATTAAATCGAGCAAGTTTTCTCTCTTGTATTATCTAATACATTGTTTAAGTCATAATATTGATATATTGACTTTCAGCTATTAGTTAAATCTATCAAAGGTTGGGTATACTTAAAATCAGATAATTGAATCAATAAACATAAATGCACTCAATACAATGAAATTCCAAGACAAAGCATTTTGAAGAGCACTGAAAACGATAAATGGCAGGAATATGACAAATATTCCAGCCACCCTTACACAACAAAAATCAAATTGATACACTTCTTTAGAAATGGCCTTTTTCTGCAAAAAACAATCTGTTTTCTAGCAATAATGATGACATGTTAACACATACAGTACTGAAAATGCAGTAACTGGTAAAGTTCTATCTTTACCAAAAGCCTAATCAATAAAACAATTTAAGAAGGTAATATGTCAAGACTTTAAAAATATATTCTCAGAGCTTGGAGCAATCATTTCTAAGAAAGAAGGGAAGCCAAGATTGGACAGGGGTTTAAGGTCACCTAATCGATTCTCTGAGGGTGCAATGCATTTCACAAGTTATATTTAAAATCATTGTGATAAACAGTGGCACAGACTGAAAATTTTTTGTTCAACTAATTCTTCCTAAAACATCCATTTAGTCATTTACAAGTAGAAGAAATATCAGCAAACCATACTAATCTTTCTAACAAATATCCTTATCTTCATTTGATCAATCTTGAAATGTTCTGTACAATCTGACCAAATTTTGTCAATCAAAAATGAAACGGAATGAACCCTAGCTTTACCAATATATTATGTTGCTTAATTTAGATTGATGTTCCTCATAAATTTTGAGAAATATATTTTTATTTGAAGATACTTTTACATTTATCTTTCAGTAATGTATGTAACAACCCACCACACAATGAAATAAGAATTGATTTTAAAAGGAGGAATGTCACTTTGAATGCTTGCTGAAACCTTCTGCTGATAAATGGGAATTGAGTCAAAACTAGTCATAAAAGAAATGCTTTATTGGTATAAAACAAGACACTGAATGGTGACTTCTCAGGTTACATAATGAACTTCTCAGATTATAACTTAAAGGCATGCTAGGAGGAGATATAAAATTAAAAACAGTTTAATCAAATAAAAATCACAGAACCATAGCTTTAAGTCATTTACCGAGGGATTTCAGCTATCCAGCCCCAGCATTAATCAAATAGGAAGCCAAAAGCCCTGCGACATAAGATAGCTACTTAGTCACACTATCTAACATCTTGTAAATTAATTACGCACTATGGAAAACTGGGGGTGAGGGTAGCAAAGCTTACCTTGTGCCAGCATATTGAATTCCAAGAAAAGTGCAATATGGTACAGCTCCATTGCTTCTTCTGCTCGGCTCATGTTTCCCTTCCCTGCGACCAGAGCTTGTACTTCACTCAAGCTGCCCACCGAGGGGCTGCAGTGTAGCACATAGGAGAGGTCCACAACATCTGTGTACATACAATGGAGAATGACCTTGGCGTACTTCTTGGGAATGATGGATTCGTCCAGGATGATCCTGGTTGGCGTCTGCAGTGTCCGATCAGTAATCTCCTCCCCTGTCCGTATTCTCCTCTGCAGGAGGTTGCGAAAAAAGGGAGAGCGGGCTGACAGAATAGCTTTGTGGGCTCTCAGCTCCTCCTCCAGACAACCCTGATTGCCCCCATAGGCTTCCACCAACTCTGTGTCGGAAGAAAAGCTGAGGACAGAGTCGTAATAGCACATGTAGTCAAAGAGGCCACGCATATCCACATCTAAGGAATTTGGTGTCCCAAACTCCTCACTGAGTTGCACCAGAATATCTACATTCTGGAAGCGAGCATCCTCCATGCCAAACTCCCCCGTGTACAGGTAATGCAGCAAAGCCGAGAACATAGGCATATCAATGCCAGCTGTGTTGATATCCATCATGATCTCGGCCCCATACTCAGGAGAGGAGGAGAGCAATGTCTTGAAAAAAGGGCACCGTGCAGCCAGGATTGCCCGATGCACAGGAAAACATGTGTCCTGAAATATTAGGTCAACATCGGTGCAGTATTTGTACTCATAGAGGTCAGCCAGGTCCTTCTGTAATGTTAGGGCCTCAGGTCGGGCCAGACTAGCTTGAAAGTTGAGCTCCTTCAAAGCAGCTGTCCCCTCATACTCTTCCACCAAGGCATTGACATCCCTTACGTCCCAGCCCGACAGCAGCTCTCGCATCTGCTTGGCATGATCAGCAGAGCGGCTAGACTTGCGCCTCTTAATGAACTTCTTCTTAAGAGTGGCCAAGCCTGAGCTCTTCTTCTTCTTGTCCTGGGGTTTGTCATGGCCATGCTCCAAGCTATAGAGCTTTGACTCGCAACCATAGCCCTGATGAGAGTAAGATGAGGTACCTAAAGAGAAGACACACCAAACACAAAAAAGCTGTTAATTTATACTAAACCATAAGCTTTTTTTTTTACTAGTTCAACAGAAGAAAGAAGCACATGGCACAAGTTTGTCAGAGTAAACACTAAAATGGAAAACAACACTGGTCAAAACTCATGAAACAGCTTTTTTTCCCAGCATCTTTACCTGAAATTCACTTTTATAGTTATTATTAATGTATTATAATTTCCCATGGGACATCTGGTCGGTAAAAACTTAGGGGCAAGAGACTGACCCCAGAACTGGATGCCGCTGTCTATTCTGGAGGGGAGATGAGGGTAACCAGTGGCAGAAATAGTCCTTTCCCTGGTAAACTCAAGGTGCTGCTACCCCCTCGAGAGGCCTAAAGCTTAAGTGTTCAAGCCTGAATTCCCCTGGCCTACAAATAATTCAAACCTGTACTTAAGTTCCTCAGTGCATTTTGGCTTTGCTCCCCCAACGTTTGGCTCTCTGCACACTGGTGTGTTCACGTTCTCAGTAACTACAATTGTGTCAGCAGCGAGATGTATCACTGTTGTACAGAGATGGAAGAGAAATAGAAAAGCCCTTTCAGGGAGTAGTGGCACTGGCAAAAAGGGAGAGCTTCGAGTTCATGATGGAGCAGGAACATCATCTCAGCATGGCCTAGAGATCCTCCTCCATGGCCTGATGCTAGGCCATCGCAGAGCTCTACAATGCTTTGGCAGAGCAATTCAATTGCACCCAACTCCCTCCCACCCTGAAAGCAAGATCCTTCACCAGGACTGGGGCTGTAAGCTTCCCTTGACCCTGGTGGTGTACAGAACGGAAATGGGCCCCCAGGCAAGGTTGCAGTGTGACAACCATGAGTGACCACAACTGCCAGCATCTGGAACAGTTGGGCATGGATGGCCAGCACAGACACTGAGGAGGAGGGAGAGGAATCACTGTGTCCTCACAGGACATTTGACAGGGAGACACTTTGGGACTTGAACCCTGGACCCGCTCTGGTGAGGAGATAAGAGTAGGATTGGATCTCTCCCTGCTAGCCTCAGACTGCCCCACCCTTTTGGTTGGGGCATTTAGCAGCAAACAGTGCACAGAAGCATTCCTTCCAGGATAAGCTCATTTGGTCTTTGCCTTCAGTGCTCTGTATACTGGTTAACACATACAGTACTGAAAATACAGTAACAAGTAAAGTTCTATCTTTACCAAAAGCCTAATCAATAAAATTGTTTTATGAAAGTAATATGTCAAGACTTAAAATACATTCTCAGAGCTTGGAACAATGATTTCTAAGATAAGATCTGGTGTACATCAGGTATCAATAACCTAAAGCTACAAAAGGGAATTGTACACAGTATGTACCGACACTGTACAGACACTGCAAAACTCAGACTTTTAATTTTATACATTATGAAATAAATTTTAGCCTAAATTCCATGAACACTTAAGTTTTGCAAAGAATATTAATAATTCACATAAAAGAAACAGAACTCTGAGAAGTTGTTTATTTTAAAGGCTTTCAATATTTAACATTTTTCCTCATTCGCTAATGAGTGAACATTTTTCCCCCGAAAAGGAAAACCAGGACTATTATATTTTCTTAAATTATAATGAAATTAAAATGTATCAATAAAAACTATTTTACTTTATATGATTACATTATTTCCAACAAATACCAATCAATGTCTTTAACATGAAGTTCCTAAACTGTATTGCTCCTTTGAATATATACATTTTTTAATTTGATAATCTAGCACTACTCTAGACAAAATCCTATTGGACAAGATACAACTAAAGAGGATAAATGTTTGGACACTTTTTGTCCAAACATTTGTGCAGAGACACATTTAAAAATTGACTATACAGATAGGGAATACATGAGGGAATTAAAACTGTTCCAAATAGCCATATAACAAAAGCAGACGCAGAAAATGCTCTTTCAATCGTACTGTAGTATACCTGATGTTTTAGTCTACATTATATTAGTTTTGCACAATTACTGTATTGACACCCTTGTCTTTTGATCTTAAATTGAACAAATTCCAATAAAATATCGTGCATGCTCTAATCCAATTAATTTTCTTAGCAAGCAGCTGAAAACTCCCCAAGGAAAAAGAGCAACTGTTTTCAATCAGCTGGACTTCATGGTTCCTGGTCTATGAGATACACATTTACATAATTTAGCAGATACCCAGAAAGAAGTTCTTAAAATGGGAGAATACTTTTTCCCCTGAGAAAGGAAATGTGAAAAGTTTCAGTGTGACTTTCTCCTGCTGGATTTGCAGACAGATCTTCTCCTTCTCTAGCAACACCATTAAAGCCAGAGAAATGTATTACCAAGTTATATTCCCTTAATAGCACTTCTGGCAGTCTCTTAATCAAAGGCTCAGATTCTCATTTCAATGGTAATTGAACTTCATTTTTGAAGCATGAATAAGATATCTTTATTAAAATGCTGCCTAATGACACTAGGGTTAATTACCATTACACTGTAAGAGATCCCATTAATGTGTTTTACTTTGATTAAGCACATTTTTGGAAAAAAAACATTAAGAACATGTCTGTGATTAGACGTAGTTACTCAGAAAACAGGTAGAGATGAAGATAAAGACCACCTAGAAAAGTAAATCATCTGGGCTGTCTAAGCCAGTGGTTCTCAAACTGTGGTACGCGTACCGGCAGTGGTACGTAGAGTGCCGCCAGGTGGTA